ACGGGAGCCGCGGGCCAGTGGCAGTCGGGCGTAGGTGGACCGCCGCCGGCGGCGACAGGGCAACGTCCGAGTGGCGTGCTACGTTGTTTTGGTTGTGGTGAGTCTGGCCATCGTCAGTCGGCCTGTCCACGGGGTTCAACATCACGTGGTTTATTTTTGGAGGATGGTGGAGAACAGGAGGTGCCTGCAGATTATGATGGTCCCCCTGTTTTTGATGTCGAGCCCGGGCTAAGTGAAGAACATCATTGCGGGGACGTGGGCTCGACACTTGTGGTTCGACGGATTTGTTTGACACCTCATTCACCCGTTGATGAGCCAGTGGAGCGCCATCAGATTTTCGAGTCGACTTGTACGATTGGTGACAAGGTATGCCGCTTTATTATTGATCCTGGTTCCTCTGAAAATGTTATTTCACAGGATGCATTGACTAAATTGGGGCTTTCGAGCGAGCCCCATCCTCACCCTTACAAACTGGCGTGGATCCACCGTGACCGTGCTATTACTGTTGATCGTCGGGCTCTCATTTCTTTGGCAATTGGGGCTACGTACCGGGACCAGGTATGGTGTGATGTACTACCCATGGATGCCTGCCACTTGTTACTTGGCAGACCTTGGCAATACGATATGGCTGCTACCCTCGACTGCCGACGTAACACTTACAGCTTCAACTTCGCCGGTGTACGAATCACTTTGCATCCTAATCCGACTCGTCCGTCGCCATCAGCTGGTTCCTCGCCGGTTCTTTTTCTTTCACGTGCTGCCTTTGAGGGCGCGATGAGCTCAGCACCATTCGTTCTTTTGTTGTTCGGGTCTAATCTGTTGGGAGTTCAGGAGCCACCTGAGGCTATACAGCCTCTGCTTTCTGAGTTTGCGGATGTTTTCCCGTCCGAGCTGACTTCAGGTTTACCACCACTACGAGATATCCAACACCAGATAGATTTGATTCCGGGGGCTTCTTTGCCAAACCGACTACACTACCGGATGAGCCCGGTGGAATACGAGGAGCTGCGGCGTCAGGTGGAGGAGCTCCTTCAGCGTGGTGTTGTGCGCCGGAGTCTGAGTCCATGTGCTGTCCCAGCATTGTTGATCCCAAAGAAAGACGGCGCGTGGCGTATGTGTGTGGACAGTCGGGCAATCAACAAAATTACAGTCAGGTACCGTTTTCCTATTCCTCGTTTGGATGACCTGCTTGATCAGCTGTATGGTGCCACTGTTTTTACAAAGTTGGACCTCCGTAGTGGATATCATCAGATCCGCATTAGACCGGGGTATGAGTGGAAGACAACCTTCAAGATACGGGAAGGTCTTTTTGAGTGGATGGTTATGCCTTTCGGCCTTTCGAATGCTCCGAGTACTTTTATGCGGGTCATGAATCAGTCACTTCGGGACCTTATTGGCAGATGTGTTGTCGTTTATTTTGACGACATACTTATTTATAGCCGCACCGTGGAGGAGAATTTAGAGCACGTTCGGGAGGTTTTACTTATTCTTCGGGCTCAGTCCTTTTATGCA